ATAGATAGAAATGTGAAGTAGGAAGTATGAAAGGAAGGAATGTTAAGTATCAATGATAACACGCACTTAAGATTGAAAGAGGGATTCTTTCTAAAATAGATGATATTTAATGTAAGGATGTTAACGTATCACAGCTATAAAATGTGTATCTGTGTGTGCGCATGGGTAAAGCGATTGAGAGAGAGGGAACGAAAGTATATTGAGAGGAGATAAAAAAAAACAATCATTAAAAAAAAAAACGAAAAAAATGTATATCTGCTGGATGGTTGTAAGATGATATAAGAGCAGATTGTAATGACAATGGCAGGCATGTGTATTGAACGTCAAGTGTGGATAGAACGTTGGGCAAAAATGAGAAATTAGGGAAGCAGAAATATTGTGGAAAGAAATCTGGCAATGGGAGGAATGGGATGGAAAAATAAATGGGAAGCAAAGAAATAAAAGCCAAAGAAATGGAATAAGCGCAAAAGATCGTTTCGAGAGAGCCAAAAGCATTATTGAGTGAGATGGTGAGCTGGCATAGTGGTGGCTTTCGGAACAAATGAGAGAGTGCTTTGTAGGTCGACAAAAAGAAGAAGGAAAGAAAAGAACTAACCAAGGAAAGAAAAATGGAGTGATACGAATAAGAAATCAATTTAAAGAAAGAAAGGGAAACAGTGAAAGGAGAAAAAAGGAAAAAGCAAACAGTTCTAAGTTTAACAAAGAAAGAAAGAATTGCCTGGATAAAGATAATGTAAAAGGAAGTAAAAACGAAAAAAAGACAATAATAACAGCGATTGGACAAGAAAAGAAAAGAAAGAATCTGCAGAAGAAAGAACAGCCATTGTGTCACAAAGAAAGAATAAGCAAATAACAAAAGAGTAATAAAAGAAAAAGGCTTGATAAGTGGGTAAGGCGTTTACCAGAGAACTAGATGGAGGTGGCGGTAGATGGGCTTTGTGTGGAAGGAAAGGAGAAAGAAAGTTAGTCGACCACGTGTTCATTCACATAGGCCGTAGTAATAGCACACAACACTACTGACGCTGTGCCATTTTGACTTCAACTCTGACTACTCTATTTTTACTACCTTCTGTTGTGGATCAATACTACACCAAGTAACTAACAACTTGGAGCCGCGCAGCTCTTCCAGAATTGTGTGTATGTGTGTGCGAGTTTGGCAGGAGCTGAAGCAGAGAGGACGCCTGATAAAGTGGAGGTCGGTGAGGAAGAGTTAGGCGAGAGGAGTTAGTAAGGCTTGCCAAAGTAGAAGAGAAGCAAACAAGAGAGAGAGAGAGAGAGAGAGAAAGAGAGTATATAGGAAAGATTCATAAAAAAATATTAAAGCTGAAGAGAAAGGAGAATAAAAGAAATGCCATGGAAGAAAAAAAAGAGAGTGAATATTTAATGATCTCTGTTGTAAACAAACGCAAAAGAAAAGAGGAGGAATAAGTTAGCAGAATGAAGATGAGAATGATAAACAGAAATAAAGAGGAAAACAAATCTTAGAACTAGATCAAAAGAAAGAGGAAGAGATATAGATAAATATTTAATTAAAGAGAAGCAGTCGGAACTGAGGAATATATGAGAATATGAAAGAGATAGGAAAGAGCAAATATAAGTGATTGAGAGAGCAAGAAAAGGTTAAACAGGATAGAGTGGCAGATCATGAAGGGTTAATATTTATGTAGGTAAATAAACAGCGACAATGTTTTTGTATTTCTTTCTTTTCTTTCACATTTGACACATAAACTAGGAAGGAGAGGGGCTGTTATTGTTGTTGATGGCGTTCATGACGAAAAGAGGAAATAACGTTCACTGATCACCCCTTGCCCTGAAAATTGCACGGGAAGACGGCAGTGAATGCGATGAAAGGGGAGTAAATATAGGTTTGAATGAGAAAGAAGAAAAGAGTAAAGAAAGAAGTAAATGAAAAAATAAAGTCATAGGAACACGAAAGAATATGACAAGATTCATATGAAAACTTAAAAAGAAGAAATTAAAAAAGGTAAATGAAAAGGAGAAATATAGAAAGGAAGGAGACAAAAATGGAAAGAAGATTGAAATTAAAAAAAAAATAATATTTATTTCTCTTAATGAATATCATTATTTAAAAAAAGAATGAAAATTATTGAGAAATAAATAAACTGTTAATGCAGCAAGAAAAATACCCATTTATTTTTAGAAAAAACAGAAGAGAGAATGAACTCGCATTTCAGAAGAAAAAAAGAGAAGAATAGTGAGGCACAAAAGTAGAAAGGAAAAAGTGTTTTGTTTCTCTTCAAAAATAAAATAAAAAAAGAAGAGCAAATAAGGCACTTATTTATCAGCACAAACTAAAAGAATGAGGGAGGGAAAGAAATGGGGGTCTTTGATTAGAATAAATACATTGGATAGGCGCTATAAAAAGATATCAGACACCAGGGACACTCGAGAAAGAAACTGATGAAAATAAATGCTGAAGAATGAACGAGGAAGAAAGAATAAAGACAAAAAAATAAATAAAGGCTTTTGGTGCGTGTAACACTAACAGAGGCGGGAAACACACAGCGCTGTACCGAAAAGAAAGGAAAGAGTTTGGATATTATTACAAAGGAAGAAGAAGGTGAACATCAAAGTCGTATCACATCGTGAAAAGGGATCGGGGCTTGGAGCAGAAATGATGTGCGAATGACGTGGAGTAATAAAAAATCTAGGAAACTCGGCGTTGATCAGAGAGAAGAAAGGAAAGGATGATAAAATGATGAAGGGGAGGCGGGGAAATATGTACAATAGCAGTAAAGGGCATAGTGAAAATATAGGGACGAGCGTTGTTTAAAGAGTGTACGATAAAATGATAGAGAAATGGGAAGAACAGAATTGGGAAATTAATTAGATGGGGGAAAAATGATAAGAAAGAGACAGAAAGAAAAAGAGTTCTTTAAAAAATTCAGAGTTTTACAAGGACAAGAGAGGGTGGCAATTATTTAGGATAGAAAGACGAAATAGGGCGAGAAAGAAGTGTGTTAAGCTGAATAAAAAATAGGATATAAGAAGGAAAAAATAAACAATAGCGAAGATATAAGAGAAAAAAGAGAGATTTTGTAAAAGAAGGGAGAGAGAACAGTGACGTGAATTAGAGAAGAAGAACAAAGAAAAAAAGAGAAAATTTAAAGAAAAGAAAATATAATAATAAATTTGGTAGAGAAAGAAAGAATAATGTAAAAAAAGAGGAAAAATAGAAAGTATAGCATGTGGAAGAGAGAAAACGTATGAGAATGAAGAGATTGTCACATTGAAGTAAGAGAGAGTGACAAGATAAAGTGCAAGGATAAGAAGAGAAATATATAGACTGGAAAAGAAAAGGAGAGATAATCTAATAAGGAAAAAGAGGGAAAAATAAAAGAAACGAGTGTTGGTAGGAGAAAGAGTAGAATTATGATTTAGAAAGAGGTAGAAGAGGAAACTATTATTGGAGGTCGAAGAGGAGAGTAAAGAAATGCTAGAATAAATTAGGGAAGATGATGGTATGGGCTCACAGAGAGAGCAATGAAAGAAAAGATATAAGAGAAAAAGTATTGTAATGGTAAGACGTAAAGAAATGCCACAGAGGGGTATAGAGAAAGAGGGAGAAGTGAAAGAGGGGGAATAGTGTAAGCTATGATAGAACAAGAAACATTAGTTTATGAAAAGACAACTAAGATTAGAAACTCTGTTTGTGTGTGTGTGTGTGTGGAGAGAGAAAGAGATAAGAAAATAGAACTTGAATAAAGGAAAGACAAGAGAAAACGAGTGAAATCAACATATAAAAGAGGGGAAGTTGTGATTCAAGAGAAGGTATGAAATTGGAAAGATAAATGATAGATAGAGAGAAAACGAAATAGAAAAAAATTACATCATCAGAGAAAACCAGAAAATGAGAGGGTAAGAATAAAGAGTGGGGAGAGTGTAACTAAAAATGACTTCGGATAGAAGTTGAAACAAAGGAAAAAGGGAAGCTAAGAAAGAGGAAATTATAATTTATTTTTTCAAGTGAGGAACTATTATCATTCAGAAAATTTCTTCGGACAGTTCCACTCATCCGACGTTTCGATCGGTACTCTCCGACCTTCTTCGAGTGTACACCACATTCAAAGAAGATCGGAGATTATCGACCGAAACGTTGGTATTCATAGTCACAAGATGAGTTGGATGGTCCAAGAAAATTTCTCGTGTGTTGAAGAGAAATATGTTGAGAGAAGAATGGGTGGAGGGAGGTTGAAATAGTTAAGAAGAGTTGGGGAAAAAGGCGAAAGGTAGAAAATAAGAGAGTCGGAAAAAAAGAAAAAGGAATGCAATATTGTGATAATAAAAAATGAAGACGAAGTAGCCAAATATAAGAAAAGAGAGAATGAAAACAAAAGACGACGAAAATGAAAAAGAAAAGAAAATGAGTGTGACAAAAAGGAAGAAGATGACGGTGTTAAAAATACCGTGAGATATATAATGACAGAACGATTTTTTTTTAAGTGTGAAATATTTTTATCTTAAAAGTAGAGATAAAGAGTAGGAGAAATGAGAAAGAAAGAAAGAAAGAAAGAAAGAATAGAAGCTTGACAAGTTCACAGAGAAAAGCCAATAAAAGATTGTGGTGGAAGAAAAAGAAAGTGAAAAGAATAGAATGGAGGTTGCAGAAAGAATGAAAAGAAGAAAGACTTAAAAAAAAGAAAAATTTGTGACACAAAGGAGAGAGAGAGAGAGATAATATGTTGAAAAAAGAAAAAGGTAAATTTATGGAAAGAAAGTTTATTTAGATATAAAGAAACAAAGAGAAAAAGAAAGAAATATTACAATAAAAGCAGAGGCAGATCGTATTAAAAGAAAGAATAGGAGAAAAAAGAAAAATGTATGACAATGGAAGAGATGGCGAGTGAATAATGAAGAAAAAAGGAGAGCGAGAAAGAAAAATGTATAGAAAATAAAGTGGGAATTTATAACACGAAAGAAAGAGAGAAGGCAACACAGAAAATAAAGAGAAGAAATTATACTTTTTAGTATAAAGGAAAATGTTGACTCAGAAAAAAAATGTAAAAAAAAAGAAGCACTTAAACACTTTTCAAGAAAGAAAGTAAAAGGGGGAAAGAAAAGAAACAGTAAAGAAATATTAATAGAAAGAGGGAAGTAAATAGAAAGACTAGGATAAAACTGAGTAGATAGGGTTGTCAGGTGAACGAAAGAAAAGAAATTAAAGGAGGGGGTGGTTGAACAGTAAAGTAAGACGGCATAACTTCGGCTGTTATTTCCCATCGAAGCGTTCAGGCGATGAGCAAAGTACGCGTCGTGGCCTCTGCTGATTATATCGACCAAGCCTTCCAGTTCTCTCTCTCTCTCTCTCTCTTCTGCTTAACCTACCCTCTATAAATCTCAAGCTTTTCTCTCTCAACTTCCGTTTTCCCTCTCTCATATTTCTCTCTCTAACAATTCTCTCTGTAACTCTTAGTCTTATTGTACACATTGTTAATTTACTCCGTTTTCTTCGTTCCCTTGATAACATCTGCCTGTCTAGAGCCTTTGCAATTCTCCTTCCTTTAAAAATATCTATTCTTTCCTTCAGTAACATCTGCTTCTTCTCGATTTTTACACTGTCAAAATAAATATTTAGTATCTCTTTTTTCTCTTTAGTTACTACTACCCTTTTCCCCATACTTTTCCTCTCTCTTTTTTATTAAAATTTATCTATTCTTGCCTTTTCTTCTCTCCTAGTCCTAATGCCATCTGTCTATCTGACTCTTTTTTTCGTTTTGCTTTCTTTCTCAGGTTCTCTCTCTTTCACCGCTTTCTCTTACTTAGTAGCATTAATCTTTTTCCTTTAACAGCTGTCGTTTTCATCTTCCTTTATTCAATAACATTTTGTTTTAGACTAAAACTTTTTCTTATTTCTCTTGTAACTTTCCCTTCCTTTTCTTTTCCATTAGTAATTAATGTCTATCGTCCACCTAATCTTCCTACACGCGACACGTTTTCCTTTGTTTCTTTCTTTTATCTCTTTCTCTCGTTTTTTGCTCACGATTTTCCTACTTCTACTTTTTCTTTTCCTTTAAATTTATTTATTTTCTCTCTAAATTTTATTTATCACTTTTATTCTTATGCAATCTCCGGTTTTCCTCTTAATTCTCTTCTCTAATCCCACGCGTGTACTTTCTTCAAAGTTATCCCTTTTCTTACTTTTCCTTCTTTTAATTCTCATTATTTCTTTCTCTTTTTCTCTTTCTTTTCTTACTATTGGTCAGAATAACCTTCCTTGCTCGTTTTTTCTTTCACATTTTTCATCTATCAAGATAACGCTTGTTATCGAAAGTTTTGTTTTCTCTTGCTGTATAATTACTCTTAGTCTTCTCCTATTTTCAATTTCAAGTTTCCCTAATTTTTTCTTTTTTGATCATTTTCTTTCACGATTCTTTCTCTCCAGTCTCTCTAAATATTTCTTTCGTTCCTTCTGACTTTTTACAATTACAACGTTCTCTGGTTTTTTCTTTCCTCTTTCTTACAAATTACACCATTTCTTTCATTTTCTCTATTTTCATCTCTCTCTCTATCGTTTCTACTCATCATTATTTCTTTTCCCACTTTTCTATTTTTCTTTTCTATCACTTTCTTCCATGTTCTAATCATTCGCTCACATTTCTTCACTCCATTTTTCATTCTGCACCTCTCTTCGAAATTATTAACCATTCTTTTCTCCTTTTAGATTTATTATCTCTTTTTCCTCTCATATTCACTTTTTCATTTTCTATTGCTCTCAAAGATTTTTCCTTTCTCTTTCTTTCAAACACTCTCCTCTTTTTCCTTGCTTCTATGAACCCTAGGGCCTAATCCATTTGCCTTTCGCCTCTTTACTTACCTTTCTACGAAATTTTGCTTTTAATAACACCTGCCTATCTTATATTTCCATCTCTCTTCACTCCTTTAATTTAAACAGCTCACATTTCTCCCTATCTAAAATCAGCTCTCTAAATTAAATGCCTTTCCTCCTCATCCGTAACATCTGCTTCTTAACTGTTTCTAAATTTAATTAACATAGTTCAGTCTGTCTTTATTTTCTCACTTTTCTTTCCTTAATAACATCGTCATCATTTTTTCTACTCTTTCAATTACTCTTTTCCTCTCCTTTAACCTGCTTAGCTTATCTAAATTCTCTGTTTCTCTTACCCACTCAGTTACTTTTAATTCAATACTAAACTATATTTTTTCTTTCTATTTCTCTATCTCTGTGAGTCATTCTCTGCATTGCTTTCACTGTTTTGAATGTTTACCCCTTGATAAAATCTACCTATCTTTCTCTCTTCATCTTTCTTTACCCACTCAGCTAAATTATCATTTTATTCTTCTCTTTCCTTTCCTCTTCGTACACTATCAATCTATTCTCCTCTCCCTTCATCGTCACTTGGCAGCACGTACTGACTAAGTGACCCTGCTTTGCCTTGCTCCATTTTCTTATTTAACAACATACTCGAAAAAGAAAATGAAGAGAAAATAAGCATAGATAAGAACAAGTAAAAGGGGTAGGTTGAACAAGGTAGAAAAATTGTAGCAGTGTGTATAATATTAGGGGTAAAAAATAAAAAGGAATTAAACGAAAGCCTGCTTATAGTTGATAAGGTTCGTGATGATGTTTTTGTTATTACTGAACCATTGCTGCTGCTACTGTTTATTGTGCGTTCGTTTTGCAGCAACTGACTGGCTTAGCGCGGGAAAACTCAGAGACGCGAAGGCGGATAGTTGAAATTGATGGCTGCCTTGTTTACGTGTAAGATTATTTGGCGTTGCCCGGATTCTAATAACAACCTAGATCATCATTAACCTCTGATGACTCATCCTATTTTGCATTTAAAGTAGCAGCTAATTAAACAACAAACAAAAACTTATGAAAAGAATTGAGAATATGTAATAAAAATAAAATAATATTTTGTTTTTGTGAACAATCCTTTCTTGCATACCATAGATGTGTTGTGCATCCTTACTCATTGTGTATTTTATATCCCCAGCGCAAAATAAAAGATTAACAAGAATCAATATGTATGTTAGGGAGGAAATTTTGACCTGATTATTTGTCGACCTCACTTGAAAAAAAAAAATAATAATATTTGTTAAAATGAGTCAACAATAGCATAAGGTTAATAATGGAGTATCAGATATGGAACAAACTCTAACAATGGTTTAAGTGGGCTAACTTTTTCACTAGTGTTTACATGTTGTATAGCTCTGTGATTGTAATGAAGAACTGTTGAATGAGAAACTGGAGACTGAGTTGTCTAAAAGCATGGGCACAGTGGCTTACACGATTCTAGAGGTCACATGATACCATATTGTTCAGGAGGGATCTCTTGGTAGAGAGGCTAATTATCTCCGGCTAGGAAGGCCTGAAATTTAAATCACTTTTCGTGTGATTTTTAATACTCCTCCCTCTCCTGATACTAGACACATGTAAATATAGTTAGTCTCTGATGTATTTTTAAACCAATAAAAATTGTTTATTTGGTTTTAACATTTTGATCTCACTGCACTGCACCTTGTGATCTTACATGCATCACACACTACCTCTAATAGTTTATAGAACAATAACATTTAAGTTCTTTGGGGCCTTCTATTGTCATAAGAAAATCAAGGAAGGAAGAATTAATTTCTTTTCACAATGGTAAGCCTTTCAAAGAACATAATCTTCTAGCTTCCCAGATATTCTATTCACTAAGCTATTATATACTGTAAAGTTTGCAGTAATCATTTACAGTCTGTGAGAACCTTTTACTGAAGATATCTTTTGGGTTTGTCTTATTCACAGTTCCCTTGATAATTTTTCTTGCTTCTTTTAACTGTTATTTTACAGTTTCAATCCAGACTTAGCTGGAAGACTTTATTTCCATGTGTTTTCTTTTAAGTTATATATATATATATATATATATATATATATATATATATAAAGAGAGAGAGAGAGGGAGAAAGAGAGAGATAATATTAGTGGTAAATATACACATACATATGCAAAATATATAAATATATATACATACGTACATACACATACATATATATTTGTATAAAAAAAATTTTAAGAGGATAGAATCCAGGTAGAACTCAATGTCCAGGACAGAGTAAGGATATAATAAAAAGGCTTAAACACTAATATTCCATGGTTTATTAGTGTTTAAGCCTTTTTATTATTCCATGGTTTATTAGTGTTTAAACCTTTTGTTATATATATATATATATATATATATATATATATATATATATATATATATATATATATATATGTGTGTGTGTGTGTGTGTGTGTGTGTGTGTGTGTATAATTTTGTATAATTTTATATCAACAAAAGTATTTAGAAAAATAGTATGACAAATTGGGAAAAAGTTTTTTTGTAATGCATTTCATCCGTTGGGATTTCTTAGGACTGGGTTTGTTGATGTTCCCACACCTACACATGTGCACAAAACAAGAGATGCTGATAGTTTCAAAATGTTTGAAAGAATATTTTTTCAATCTAGACAAATTCAATTTTTTCTAATTTGTCATTCTATTTTTCTAAACATATATATATATATATATATATGTATATATAATATGTGTGTGTGTGTTTTATTGAAAAGTATAGATATTTATGTTTGACCATCTTTTTTTCCTAAATTGCAAATGATATTTTGCAAAAGCTAGGACATGGCAATTATATTGATTTTGAAAATATTGTCCATCTGTAGCAGACAGGTTTGCCAAAAAATTCACAATTTTTAAAAATTGCCAAACTTTATATATATATATATATATAGTGTTTATACTTTTTAATAAAACATGTTTAACTCACTGCCTAATTACACACACACACACACACACATGTGTATATATATATATATATATACACATGTGTATATATATATATATATATATACACATGTGTAAACTCTAAAACTGAAATTCTCAATGTATGTAGACATAAAAAATCTTAGCTACTAAATTAGACGTTTTCCTGTTATTGACTTTCCACTGAGGATTTTTTTTTTTTTGTATAATAAATAATTACCCCCCTTCCACTTAGGTTGTTTTTTGTTTTTTTGTCACGTGGTATGATTTTAGCTATCACCTGTAAATATGTGTTTCTCTTTGCCTCGTTAGCCAAACTTTCCCTGACGATCCATTTAGGTGAAACCTAGGTAGGTTTGTCTGTATCTAGGTCTGCTCTACGGCTGTATTGAGCTCTTTTGTTAGTTAGTTGTTACGCGTATCGGGGTTTTTTCTTTGGGCTCCAGACCTGCATCTGTGCGATTTTTTTGTTGGCAGAAGTTCATGTTTGTAGCTCTTTCTTTTTTTAAAACCTTTTTTTCCCTCGAGATTGATTTGATTAGCAAATCAAAAAATTCCGGGGTTTTAAACAGTCTAGTTATCTATCTATATATATATATATATATATATATATATATATGCAAATTGATAAAATGTATCTAATTCAAAATGTATAAATGTATATAAGTATGTAAAATTAAAGCATAAGTTAAAGGTTATAATTTTCAAGTAAGAAATTTTAATTTTTTTCTTGCTTTAACTTTGTCTTTAATTTTAAATACTTATATATATTATTATTCCTTTTGTATTATCAATTTGCATAGAATTAAAAAAATTAAATTAAATTAAATACAAATTTCATGAACTTTGGGTAAAAAAAATTATGATCAAAAAGTATTTTGTAAGAAAACTTTAGAAATATATTTTTAAGTCATCCACTTTATTTTCAAAAAATCTTTAAGATTATCATGTAAATACAAAAGTTATTTGCATTTCTGTAAAGAAAAACTTGATAGGAAAGAGTAAAATTGATATTTTTACTTAAATGTATTTTATTGGCCATAAAATTCCTTTTCAATCACTTATTTTTAGTTCTTAATTCAAGTCATTTCAGTTGTGGAATAGGCTCTGTAAGGTTGGCTTTGGAGGTCATACAGGGTCATCAGACATCAAAGATGAAAAATTTCTGATTCTAAACATTGGCTTAAAACAGAATTTTCATCAATATAAATCATACTATGGTTTCTTATAATAATATCAATTTTTATACAAATTTTGGCTAATTTGTTTTGATATCATATTTATTTTGGGTATTTTGTTTTGATATCATATTTATGTTGTAAATATGACCCTCTCTTTAAAATTTTAAAATATCAAACTTTTTAAAACAAATTCTCTGAGTAGAGAGGGTCTTATGAATACCATAGAATTAAGCAATAAATGCAACATTAAAAATCTCTGATTTGCATTAAGTAGCAAAAATAATTTCAAACGAAAATTTTGTAATTTGTAATAGTTCTGTAGCATTTTATAATTTTCTGATATTTATAAAGAATCAGCATTGCAAGACTGGGGCAGAAGTGTCTAAATTGGCTTATACCAAGGCAACCTTAGTTAAGGATCTCTCCTTGGCTTATACTCATGTAGTATAGAAAACGACATCATGGCAATGGACACTATTGACTTCAAGCAAATAATAAATCAATTCTCCACAAAGAAACTTTGCAAATATTTGTGCTATCTGCTTGATGCATAGCTGGTGATACTTGTTATCAGAGAGACTCTGAAAAGAAAATTGTTTTTAAATGAAAGTAAAATGTCTTTAGACTTGGGTTTAACATTTTTTAATAGTTGAATGAAGCAATTAACCATATGGCATCTGAATGGAACAAGTGATTAGTTAATCTGGTAACAATATTGACCTCTTAATGAAGCATAACAAATGACTGGAGGTTTTTGATGGTGAGAGAAGAGAACTATTAATAATCTCTCAGTTTGGTTTATAGAACATAACTGTTATTTCAGAGGAAAAGCTTAAATCC